TGTACACAAGGGACAAGGCTGAAAACCAATATTGGCTGTCTGTGACCATCTGGTCCTCAGGCGGTACTGCAAAACAAAAAAGAAATAAATCATTGCATGGACTCAGGAACTCTTATAAAAATAACTGAACATAGTTTGTCTTTGCTGCCATAAGTACAATGTGGCACAAATGCAAAAGAAAACAAACATGCATAGTAGCAAGTAGTAGCCTGAGGTCTGAAGAATCAAAAGTTGGAAAACTTTCTTTCTAGTGAGATGGAGCTCCTCGCTTGTTGTCAGTGCTAAGAGTTTAGACGTTGGCATCCGTAATAATGTGTAATATGTCCAATAATATGTAGTGTGCACAGAGGTGCGGTGGTTAGGGCTGTTGCCTCACAGCAAGAAGGTCGCAGAGAGCGAGATTGCTTGTCTTCCTTGTACCTGTTTAGAGTCTCTCCAGGTACCCCAGTTTCCTCCCACAGTCCAATTACACGCAGGTTAGGTTGATTCTAAATTACTTGACTGTGAATGAGCATGATTGTCTGGCTCTGTTGGCCCCACGATAGACTGTGACCTATCCAATTTGTACCCAGCCTCTTACCCCTGACAACTAGGATAGGCTCCAGTTCATGGAATATATTCCAACAATATGCTTTTTCCTTTTTGGGGGGGAGAAGCTACGCAGTCATCCACAGTAGCTTTTTTTCAGTGTGGACATTGTTTATTTCAGTAAAACAATACCAAACTGCATTCTGCACAAAAACAAAGCTTCAAAGAAAAAAAAAGGAAAGTACAGGTGTTAAATTGGCTTCTCTACAGTCCAGGTAAAAGGTACTTGTGGGAATGGGATACCATTTTGCTTTTGATTTCCTTAGTTCAAGCACTTTGAGATTTTTGTTATAAGGAGAGGTGATGAAACACATCCCAACTTCTTTTTGAAATGCTTTGCATGTATGAAATTCGTTATTCGTTAATTTAGTAAAGTTTGAACATTTGATGTGTTTTCTACTGCTGAAAACTGTGACACAAACATTACCATGCAGTGACTACATTGATTACACTAAGAAGTGTTTACCTTAGCTGCTTCCTCCTTTAGCAAGAATACAGCCGTCTGTTGTGAACAAAGGGATTGCACACCTTGAGCAAATCTCATTTCCAGCAATAGATCAAACTCTGGATGTGTGTTTGGCCTTCATGCATCCTGTTTGTCTGCTGTGTCTGTTTGAATAAGTGTGACTTGTGTGCGTATCGTTAAGTGTGTGAGAGAAAGTCCCCCCCTCGCTTTCTTTGTGCCACTCATGTCCCCATCCTTTTTAAGTGTGCCCATGTATCCATGTGTGCCCGTGTCTATGTGTGTGTTTGGCCTGCTTCCCATTGCAGATTATTAATTAAGTCCTGGTAAGCGGTGCATGCCTTACCTTCAGATCTACTTCCACTTTCTTTAGCACACACTGGTATCTGCGCACGCACACGCACACACAAAGATGAACACACTTCAAAGCAGCTGCACTCCACACCGCTAGGATTAAGAGGCGATTGAAGAGCCTGATACAGCCTCAAAGTGCCTTCAGCGCAAAAATGCCTTTGGCAGGGCGCAGGTACTCTCTTTGAAAGTTCTTACACACTCACACAGACACACACATATGGATGGGCTTTTAATTTAGCACTGTTTTCCCTTTGTATTTGTCACAGTCCAAATGGGGTATTTTTCACTGCGTGTACTATCCATATTTTCTTCTACTTCTGTCCATTTTTATGTGTGTTTAGATGGTAGAGGTTTATAATGTTTGAAGTTTTTTTTAAATACTTTTTTATAATACTTCCTGCTGAAATCCCCCGAGTGACTTCAGGTAAAAGGAATAAGTTAGTAGCAAGCTCTTTGTGATTTTATAAAAAATCTGAGCCTGTTTGTGTGTCAGTATGACCACATGCTAAAGGTACAGTCAGTAATTTGAGGTCATTTAATGGAAAATAAGGATATATAGTGTGTAATTAGATCTTCCAACAAATTGATTCATTCTCAAACTTATAATTAATGTATTAAGAACCTTGAACCTTGAACCTTAAAAATAAATGGGAGTTGGTTGGCATTGGTTTGTGAAGGCTGCCATGTTCCCTTACTATATTTGAATACAGTGACCAGGTAGGACAGCTCCCTTCCAACTGATCGCATTTTATGTAGAGACACCTGCATTTTCAGGCTGAAGTTATAAAGGATCATATCTATGTTTTATCATCGGGGGAGGGGTCATCTTCACCAAAACCACGAAGGAAAGAGACAGCACCACTGGCATCTGTGTAAAATGTCATACTCTTCCTTCACATCTCAAGCCTCATCTCATAATATAAAGTCAGGGCAAAAATGTCCATAAACATGCTTATTTATTCCCAATGTTGTCACAATTCCTTGTTGTCAGCAGATTAGACATGTGACACTCCATCACCGCTTGACAAGAAATAGCTAAACGACAACAGCTGGTTACAAGCTAACATCATACCAGCTAATGTTAGACTTGAGTGTCCTAAAAATCTCACTTGTCTTTCTTATCCATCTATTTATTCTTTTCCACTTGTCCTTATCAGGGTCGCCGGGGGGCTGGAGCCTATCCTAGTTGTCCCACCGTGAAAGGTGGGATATATCCTGGGCAGGTAGCCAGTCTGTCACAGGTCTAACAATGACAGACAGACAACCATTCACACTCACATTCACACCTATTGACAATTTAAAATCACCTGTTACCTTCACCCCACTCTCCCATATCTTTGACCTGTTGGATGAAACCCAAGTACCTGGAGAGAACCTACACAAACACAGGGAAAACCTGCTGAGGACCTTCTTGCTGAGGCAATAGTGCTAACCAGTTTCAGTTTTTTCCTTCTGATAAACAGTTTAATTAGATTCATATGAGAGTTTATTCGCCAAGTGTCTGAGTCCACTTCAAAGAAAGTTTCACTAAAGGCAGTTAGCAGCAGCTAACAGAGGCTAATAGCAGCGCTTACCAGTAGTTCAGGATATCTTCAACAACTCACCTCAGTGTGACTGTCGTGGGTCAGAAGTGAGTTTCACGGACTCATCAAATTATATTACAGTCCTTTGACAAAGATTCCCGGCTTCCTCCTGAGTAAATAAAGGTGGACACTACTCATCCAGCATTGACAGCTGAGGTAAACAGTGGACTGAATCTGGATCGCCTCCAAGCAGTAATAGAAACATTCCAGCCAGCTGGGGCCATTATGGGGTGCAGTTTAAATGTAATGTTTTTGATCTCTTTGGCTGTTGAAAACATGTTCGAGGGGTAAGAAAACACAACTCAGTTTACTGCACTTTGCAGTCTACTGACGTCAACTTGAATCTTGGTCTAGCTGTGAAAATTTTACACACTGTAAATTTAAACCCATGTACATGTGAACCTACAGTCTCACATTGTGCAGTATAAACATCACCTAAATTAACTGTAGAGACGATTATGTGTAAATGGAGAAATAGATACATTTAAGACTCTTCTTTCATCTTTTTTTTTTATTTTTCTAAATATAGAACACGAACAATACACAAATATTCGTTATTACAACAGAGTCACTCACAATATGGAGCAGAGCTGAGACAGAAAATGTAAAAAAAGAACTCCATTTGTTTCCCTTTCGCACAGACAGTTCATTCTCTCGTCTTTCCTACGCCCTCCTTTGTCCTCCGCGCTCTCATCAGCTGCTTTAGGGCCCCTGGGGACAAGCGGGCCGCCACTCAAAGAGTCCTGGCGCAGGAAGACAGGGCTTGTATCCTTGGTGATGGCTCTGTGTTTCCGTGGTGACAGGTGTGTCCGTTCAGAGCGGACGGCCGTGTTTGTCAGGAAGTGTTTGGAAGGGGTGCGGAGTCCAAACGCAGCTCAGGTGTTGATGGCTGTGAGTGGGAGTGTTCAGCGGAGCAGTGTTTGTTCATGAGTTGTCTGTCTGTCAGTGGCTGTCAGGAGAGTCAAGTAAGTGTTTGTGTGCGCAAAAGAGAGAGAATCATGTTTACTACAGTTTAGAATAACTTTCTGAATACATCTCTGATGGTTTACAGTTGTGTGTTTTTCAGGAATTTAGAAGAAGAAATATATTAAACTGTGGCCCCTTTTTTAGTGGCATAGCAACTGAAGCGTCTAAATAATATATAGCATATAAATGCTGATTTTTGTAGTTTTACAGCAGAATGTGAGACTTAAGTTTAATCCTCGTCCACTGAAAAGCTTTGCCTGGCCTTCACGTAATGACCTCTGTCCCCCATTAATTCAACCCTTAGTGTTTCCTTAGTACTTGTATGGACCACATCCACGTCCATACAGGCCGCTACTGACGTCCCTGTAGAATTCCAGCACTTCACACCTAATTATCTCACTCCACAGTTCAGCCTCTTATTGAAACTCTGGCAGCACAACACAGCTAGCTGAAAGGAGAAAGATCTCGCATTAGAAACACACAGCCTTTGCTTCCAGCTGGCTAGCTTCCCATAGAGAAACAACGGAAAACAAAAGAGACGAGCAACGCTCACTAAACTTCCAGCAACAATCGCCATTCACTTCTATTCTGTCTCCACCCTGTTTAGTTTCCCAGCTTCTCTCAAATGTCTCCCTTGCTTTTTTTTTTCTTACCCTATAGCTAATTGGCAGCAACATTTTAATTCCCCCACCCCTCACCGTAGCCCCTCGTCTTGTTAAGTGATGAATTGTTGGCAGGGGATCAAAGGGGAGTAGTGCCCACTGTGCACTGTGCCCATCGCTACCTGCTGGCACACATGAGCGCTGGGAGTGGCGCGGAGCCAAGGGGCCGCAGGCGTGCTCAACAGGGACACACTGCCAAGAGGCAGAGGTCAGCACAAAAGTGTGTGTGTGTGTGAGAGGATGGTTAGGTTGGGAGGGTAATGTGTCTCTGTGCACTTCCTAACGGAAGATTGAATTTCACTACCCTGTCTCTCTTTGTGTCCCTCAACCTGCCCGTCTGCATATCTCTTTCTCACACTCCCCTCTCCCTTCTTCTCCTTGCAGACCAACAGCAGGCTGAAGCAGATTGAGAGGGAGTACAGTCAGAAGCTTGCCAAATCTGCCCAGGTAATCAGTTTTCACTTCTGCCCTTTCATTTCATATTCTTGTTTTTCTACTCGACTATGTGACGGAACAGACAAAATGTACTGATGGGGGAAAGGTGGTGACACACACACACACTGCAAGCTGCCATGGCTTTTTCTCTTAAGCACATGTGCACGAGCGCAAATGTATGAGAAAGTGCACGCAGAACATTCGTGTCAGTGCCAGAGCACGAAAGTTCATATTAGAGTGAAATTTGTAAAGCTTTGCTATCTGACTTTTATCAGCCCCTCTTTCATCCCTGTGTCCAAAGTCAGAGCATTTTTATCAGGCTTCAAATTTACACACAATTCTTCTCCTTATCTTTGCTAACCTTAGATTAGAATTAATATTTGCTCTCTGAAAGCTGCACCAATCAAACACCGACACATGAGTTGAAAGGGCTGGAATGAGTGCAACCACTACACTTACATTCATGTGGTGATCAGACACGAATCCAGGAAACTTTTGCCAAACATTAATATATCAATTGTGTCTTTTAAGTTTGTTCAGCTGCCCCCCAGTGGCCACAATTCCCCGGGTATAAAATATCTTGGCACTCTCTTAAGAGATTTTTCCTCCCACAGGACAATCACCAGGATTTAGAAAAGGGGGAGAAAAAAGAAAAAGAGTTGCAAAAACACAAGCAGTCCAGCTCTTTGTGTGATGCTGCCGCGGCCCCCAAGTGTACTACGGCTCTCTCATGGGAGCTACACAGCCCGAGCAAACTGTTAAGCCGGCGAAACATCTTGAAAACATATCGGTGAAAGTCCTTTTCATATACCATACCTGTCTGTCCGTCACCTGGCTACACTTCAAATCCAGGAAATGTGTTTAACATTACTTCTTGTGTCCTTAGGCCACATGAAATCGAGTTAATTCTTCTGTCCAAACAGATATAACTTCCTCGGACACACGTTGCCATTCAGCACGACGTCTCAGAAAGTTCTGGCAGCTTTCACCTCACCAGTTTAAAGATCCAAAAACACCCTAAGTAGTGTTTACATTACAAAAAGAAAAGTGGTTTCTTCTTGATTATGTAGCAGGCTAAAATATTACAATCATTTGGCCGTAATTGCACCTCGTTACCCAAAGAGGAGATTCAAAAAGGCTGGGGGGGAGGGTGACGAGGGGGAGGAGAAGGTTGTTGTTTTTCTTTCTTTCTTTCTTCTCCTCTTTAAATCTCCCCCATTTCGGGTTGGTTGGCAGAGGCTCCGAGTTGAAAGCGGGGTTGACAAGCAGATGTTGTGAGGAAAAACGGTAGCTTATTAGGTTACACAATGCTCAACTTCAAAAGGAGTTGGGTGCTGTGCGAAAGTTTAGCCTCTGCCCGCTTTGGAGGGTGCAGGGCCGCCGCAGACGAGCAACAAGTGATTAATCCTCTGGTTTGGGGACACGGAGCTGGCATAAGTTTAACAAACAACACTCGCTGACATTAGAAGATGGTCCCAGAGCGCAGAACTCAACACCGCTGTTGATGCAAGCGGTTACATAAAGGTTATGCTAAAGGAGTGGGTTCTGTGCAAACATGTTAATATGCGTGAGTATTTCTGAGTATTTGTTATGGGCTTGGGCGACTTTGTTTTAAAAGGTAAAGGTGGAACCAAGAAGGCTCCCCCCCCCAC